AGGTGCTTGCTCCAAGTCAGGGCCCACCCTGGGGGGCTCTCTCTATGTTGCCCATCAGCTTATTACTATAACCCCAGGAAGCAGAGGTGATCCCATTCAACAGATCTGAAACAGGCTGGGGAGTAGAAGTTATTTGTCAGGTGGCTTAGACTGAAACCAGGGCCCATCTGCCTCCAAAACCCCTGCCCTTTCTACTCCACCTGATACGAAGAGGGGGCTGGGGCTCCCCAAAAGGCCGGAGGATCCTCCAATGCCACTCCCATGGAGCAGACAAGAAGAACAAAGGGGTGGGCTGGTACAATTGGTCACAGGAAGCTGAGCACTCAACTGGGTGGAAAGGATGGTTGGGGACAGGCTCTCCTGGGGCTCAGCCTAAACCAGGAGCCCCAAGTAAGTGCTGCACAGAGCAGACCAAGTCTGGTGTCAACTCCAGCCCTGAGGATGGGGGTGGGACAGAGTGTCCCTTCAGGATGAGTAAGACCATTGCTCAGTGCCCCTCAGCTCCACCTTTCAGGGGGTTGAGTCTGCAGCTCTGGGACCCAGAATGGCATAATTTGCACAAGAAGACACCCATCTGGGAATGTCTACACCTGGGAGGGGTGGGATGAGCAGGGAGGTTCCTAGTCAACAGACACAGACATAGAACCTGTGTGAAGAACCCACAGACACGGACACTCATGAGAGCTGGCTTGCCGTCAGTGTGAGGGGCCGGAGCACAGCTACTCCATGGTGGGGTCTCACCTTGCTCGTCCCTGCCCTGGACAGGTGCCATTTCCAGTCACCCTGGAGCAGGGCAGTCTGCGTTCGGGGACAGGGATGGGGAGGGCTGCTGGGGGAGGGCAGAGCAAACTTCTCTCCCCCTCCCCAGCTGCAGCAGCCCGCCCTGCCTAGCCAGAAAACTCAAACTCAAGTAAAAGGAAATAAAGAGAAAAAAGAAGCTCGTGACTAGCCATGACTGGGAGCATGTTGGGGGCTGAGAGCAGGGTCCTAGTGCCATAGACAATGGCAATACTTGTGGGAAGCACTGGAGTGAACAAGGTGGCTCAGGCCAGAGGCTTCCGGCAGCGGCCCCAGGCTGTGTGCTTCTCCAGGGCCGAGGAACCAGTACCTCTGTCCTGTAGCCCACTCAGAGCTCCTCGCGATGCCTTGGCCCCTGCATGGGCCCTGGAAGGAGTTGAGGAGGCCTTTGGAGGGGGCAGGATTAAAGCTGGGGGCTGAGATAAGCAGAACAGTACAGATAGAGCTGAGGATGTTGGGGTGGGGGGGGGTGAGGGGTGTGGCTGGCAGGGTTGAGGGCACAAGGTTCTTTAAGGCAAGGGAGCTACAGTGAGGAAACTGGAGCTTGTCTGGAAGAGCCCACCAGCAGCAGAGCCAGAGAGGACACCTCCCTCCCAATGGATCAGCCTAGTGAAGCGTGGTTACTCGGAGCTTCCCTAAGGGCTCCTGGCTTGGTACTGGAGGCAGGCACTGGGGAGGCACAGGTTCCAGCCTGGGCACCGGGTGCATTAGTCTAATTGGAGGAGGCTCAGGAAGGGGATGAGTTGGGGTGGCTATGGCATTGGTCTAGGTAAGAGGGTGAGGAAGGAAGGAGCCTGGGGGGGTGGGGGTGACAAAGGAGGAGAGGGACACAAGCAATGTCACAAGTAGGGCTGAGCTGGAGGACTTGGTGACAAATTAGAAATGAAGCGTGAAGGAGAAGGGAGAGCTGAGGGAGACGCTAAGGTTTCAGCCCTGGGCTTGGGGACTAGGGAGAGGGGGAGGACAGGGCCCATGGAGGGAGGGGCAGCAGGAGATGTTTGGCCTGGAATGAGCAGGCCCAAGCTTGTATGTGTGTGGACATGTGTTCCCAGGCCGCAGCCCAGGCCAGCACAGGGCCTTCGCCTGGAGAAGGGGTCCCCCATCTGATAGGTTGAATGATTTGAGTCTGCAGATCTGTGGCCCAGAGCAGCACCAGATGGAAGACGGTGGGGGCCCTAGGAGTTTGGGGCGGCTGGCTCCTGCCTGAGGCCAAAGTTGGCTGCTCCCAGGAACCAGGCCATGCCTCTTGGTTGGTGGTGGTGGTGGTGGTGGTGGTGAGGGGGGTTGGTACCTGAACCAATGCCAATCCCTGGGCTCCTAAGGGAAGCCCCTCCCAACACAGGCAAAGGGGGTCAGAAGACCAGACCTCTTCTGGGGATACCTGGGGGGCCCCAAAGCCTAGCCCACCCCATCCTCAAGGCAGAGTGAGTGAGAGCAGGGTATTTCTTAGCCCTAAAGAATTAAGACACCATCCCCCCAACCAACTGTTCCATTCTGGGGGGTGAGAGGTGGACAGAGGGGTCCAGGACCAGCCCGGAAAATGGGGGTGGGGCCTGAGGAAGAAGCCACCAGGACAAATTATTTTAAAAAAATATATCTTTATTGATTTCAGAGAGGAAGGGAAAGGAAGAGAGAGATAGAAACATCAATGATAAGAGAGAATCATTGATTGGCTGCCTCCTGCACACTGGGGATTGAGCCTGCAACCCGGGCATGTGCCCTGACTAGGAATTGAACCGTGACTTCCTGGTTCATAGGTCAATGCTCAACCATTGAGCCACTGTGGCCAGGCCACCAGGACAAATTTTTGGGGTCAAGTCCCCATGGAGCCCCTTCCCCAGGACTGCAGAGATCTGTGTGAAGAGAAGCCTACAGGTGTGCATGGCCCACAGGGGCAGGGAAGCAGGTGCCAGCTGTGTGACTGGATATGAATGAGAAAACCCTGTAAGACAGATGGGTCTGTGTTCAAAGGCACAGAGAAGGGCCTACTGGGTGCATGTGCTGAAGGGAAGGCTTTTGTGTGACCCAAGGTGGACGCTCAGCCTGGGGAGCAGGAAGCTGCCATTGTGCTGGCCCCCCGGCGCCCCCTGCTGGCCACTCACACACATTTTTTTTTTTCACCCTGGCTGATGTTGCTGAGGAGCTGATGGGTGGTGCAGGAGGAGCAGGGGTCATGGTAGGGCCAGCCTGTCTGGGTACAAGTGACTGGAGCCTGTGGAGGACAATAGTAGGACAATAGTAAGGGGCCCAGGCGAGAAGGAGAGGCCCTCTGTGCCCTTCAGCAGCTCCTCCCACAGGCCTGTGAGTGGATGCCCGGAGGCTCTGCTCCAGGGCAGTCCTATGGCACAGGGGCCCACCAGCCAGCTCCCTGGACAACCGTGGGCCAGGCCTCAACAGGTGTCCTACCAACCAGGGATGCAGTCCCCCAACTCTGCAGCCTCCTGAGGAATCCATGTGTCACCCTCCACCCCCAAGGCTATGGTTCTCTGTTTCACCAGCACCCATCACCCCCTCACCTACATATGCTCACCTGTGCAACTATTCACAACAATCACACATGTGCAGCAGGCCATACACAGACCAGGGCTGCATACACTGCCATGCCCTGTCATCACCAGGACACACATGCCGACTCACAGCCCTCACACATGCTTACATGGGCAATATGCAGATATGACCACACAGCCCTCTCGCACGTCTGACTCGTAACCTTCCCCTGGGCACCTACTCGTTATCTGGCGACACCTTCCCTGAGTGAGGAACATGAACGCTTGCAGCTCATGATGGTTAGTGGTGCAGCTGCACCCTGAGTGTGGCACATATACTCCTAACATGCACATGTGTGCAATATGAACACACACCCAGAGGCAGTGCAGTCTCCCAGCTAGGTCAGGATTAGAAGGGGAGGTCATGGTGCAGAAGGGTTTGTTAAAGTGAGGATTTGGGGGGGGGGGGGATGATGGGATGATAGAGAAGGGATATAGAGTGGATGGGATGTGGTAGATGGAGGACTGAGGGGCAGCATAGTAGGGTGGCCAGACAGTGGTGGGTGCAGGATGTGCTACACAGAGTCCCTTTAAGGAAACAGCTATCAACCTCAATCATCTGACTGGTCTCTGAGCAATCACGCATTGATCTTCGATCAGTCTGGCTTTGAATCTCAGGAAGCCCAACACTCCCTCCTGACACCCCTGGGATTAAAAATGGCCTGGCCAAGCAGAGGGGGCACCTCACAGGTTCCTGGGGCAGCAAGAATCAAGAATTGCTAGGGCAAGCCCCATGATCACATATATGACCCCCTCCCCCTACACTCATAAATAAGTTCAGCTCTGCTAAGTGCATGAGTGGGGGGCAGAGATCAGGAGGACTCAACAGCTCAGCCCGAATGGAAGCTCAGGGAGAGCAGACAAAGGATGCAGGGGACCCGCCCCCCCAAAGGAGGTGGGTTGAGGGCTGAGTTACCAAGCAGGTTAGGGTGGCCAATGGGACATAAAGGGAGGAGAAAGGGCTTTGTAGTAAACGGGAGATGGGGAAGCGGCAGTGAATCCACCATACACAACTGTGGCCCCCACAAACCAGGGGGCCCAGGAGCCACAGCCCCAGTGGGGGACCCGCAGTGCTCTGTGCAGGCTGCAAGGGCTGGGGGCTGGTGTATGCGCCTCCACGCCTGAGTGTGTACGTGTGCGAGCGTGTGTGGCGGAGACAGAGGAGGACACTGTGTTCTGGACGTGGGCAGAGGCCAGGTGCCCAAGCTAGGAACTGTGAGTAGCTGTTTGAGGCAGATGCTACCAGGAGAGGTATCTTAACCGCCCTTCTTGATTTCCTGGGGACTGGGGGGTGGTCAAAACCCTCAAAGTCAGGCTCCCCCGGGGGCGTTGATTCAAACCCCTGACCCTGCTCTGGGGCCGGCAACCAGCAAACTTCCCTCGCCCTGAGGCGTGGGGCGTCTACACTCGCCAGCCCCGCGCGCTAGCAGCTGCTCCTGGACTTGGCAGAACCCAGGCTTCCGGGGAAGCGCGCGGGGAAGCTGCGCAACAATAAGAGGCGGCCCCCGCGTCCCGCCTCGCAAAGTTTGGCCTCGGGGGGCTCCCAACTGGGTCCGGCAATGCGGGTCAGGGACACCCCCCTCCCCAATTCCAGAGCAGCGAGCGTTCGCGCACACTGTCCCCCGCAAACCTCCCCCGAGCATGCATGTGACTCACCGGAACCGCGGAGCCAGGCGGCGAGGACTATGCCCAGGAGCGCTGGCCACAGGCCGGGCCGGGACGGCCATGGCCGCTGGCGGGCAAGCTCGGGCGCGGGGTCTCGCGGGCGGGAGGGCGACTTTCAGCGCCTCAGCTCAGAGCCTCTGCTCGGGGCGCTCTCGGGACTCATGCCAGCGGACTGCGCTCCCACGGGCGGCCGGTTACGGGGCGCACGCGGCGCGTGCTTCCTCTGGGCACCCGGAGCGCAGCAATGCAGCCAGGG